ATTTACTTATTTCTTTCTTTCTAAAAAAAAAAAAACTTTTATGAATTCCTTTGGAATTCTTAATTGCAATATAAAGTTTGCCTATAAACAATTTTTTTTTTTACTATTATTGGATTTTTAATTTGTGTAAAAAGTGAAAAATGTCTCATTTCATGCTTCAGTTCATTATCCAAAGGGATATCTATCTAACAGATATTTTAAAATTATTATTATTAAAGCCTACATAATTTTAAAAAGAAACACAAAATTTAACTTCTTAGATGAGGCATTGTAAGTTATTAATTTTTAACATATATTTCTTCCATCTAATAGCAGTGAATGCCTTAAGTAAATATAAATATAGTAAATTAATTGAATGACATTTTCTTTTCTGAATAGATAACTATTAAAAGAAGCATTTGTCAAAATAATGCATGTATTTAAGAATAAGCTATATATATTTATTATAAAAGAAATGTTTCACCAAAATTTCTAGTTTTGTTAGGTAGAGAAATTTGAATACTGCTACAAGGTAAAAATTTCTGAAAGATAGATAAAAGATGTTTCTCTCAACATGGAATCTTAATTATGTTATTGGTCATATTTCCCTGAAAACAGTGTAAGTATCATCTAATTAACAAAGTGGCCCAAGCAATAAAGAAATATTTACAGGGAATAAAATTCTAATGAGTATCAGCCAAAATAACAAGGGTAACACAAAATCATTGGAAATGAATAGACATTTCTGCCATGAAGAATTATCATTATTGTATATTGATCTATTCAGACTAACTGTATTTGGTGAATATGACAGGCTACAATGGCTGAAAAATTGTGCCTATACCAGCCAAGATGAAAAGACAAGCTCCATGAGATCAGTATCATATCAAAAAAAGTTGTCTAAAATATTGGGCAAATATAAACAGAAATAATGTAGAAAATATAAAATATCAAACTATGTTAGAAAAAAAAAAATGGCAGGCCAAGTTGGGATCATATTAGAGACTAAATTTTATTTCTGAATAGAAAAATAGCTTTATGAAATTATGATAAATATAATGCCTAAAATCACTATGAAAGTCTATGAGAAAAATACAAAAAATACATTCAATGTTTTTACTGTCTCCAGTATTGATCAGTCTTCACCAGCTTTGATTTTCTATGAGTGGCATTTGCTGTGGATTGCAATAAAACTATTTTGTATAATACTTATTAATAAGTATACAAATAATTCCGTGCTTCATAATTGATTTAAACCATGGACTTATATAAATTTAACAAGCACTTTCATTCTGAATTACTGGAATGGTTACTTATTTCTTTGTTTATGTATCGTGTATCTTCAGGACTTGGGCAATCATGGCTCTCTACAATTTCCTGTCCTTTGCAGCTCTTAATGTTTGTCTTTACTATCTCACCTACTCCCACCAATGTTCTGCCATTAACACAAGCTCATTAGGAAGATTATGCACTGCTTTCCACTGTATCTTTTGCCTTCAATATAGCCTCTGATTTTTTGAAACCCCCCCTTTCTTCATTACATGCCCTAGAAATTTCAACTATATCTTTCTGATATTAAGTATATCATTTTTGTTTCTATTTTCTCTAAAACTTCATTGCTCTCACATGTTCAGTCTATAGTATTATCAACATCCTTCTGTAGAACAAAATTTCTGTTGCCTCAAGTCTCTTTTTCATCTGTGATGTTCCTGAAGGTTATTGCAATCGCCAAACATCTGAGGAAGGATGGCATTTTCACATCCTTCTAATTTTTGAATTCATATCTAACTTTGCTGTTTAATGCTAAGAGATAGATGTAAAGAATATAACATTTGATTTTTAATCTCATAAGTATGAGACATTGTTTTCTTTTGTGTGGTTCATATAAATTTTGTATAAATAATACTTCAAGGAATGATTAAATATTAAGACTATGATGGATTGAAAAATTTATAGAAATAGTTGAGCATTTTAGAGTTAACTGATTTTCAGTTGTGTACCAGAAATAAAAGTACTTAAAATTATTTCAAAAATAAAAAAATTGATAGCAACAAAAGATATAATAAAGAATAATTGTTTGTGCATGTTTCCCAAAATTTACAGACCGTGGTATTTGAGTTCAGGTTAAAAAAAAAAAAAAAAAAAAAGGATTTTGTCTATGGAGTTTCAAGGTAGACTTTCCAAAGCTTGTAAATTTACGGCCATATCATTTTAAAACACCAGTTCTCAAATAATCACTAAAGTTAAACAATGTTGTGCTTGGTCAGTATTCAGATGGGTAACCACTGAGGAATACCAGATGCTATAAGCTATGCAACAGGCCTAGCAAGCTGAAGATGGATATAATCTCACTCCTTTTACTAATGAAAGACTTTGATATATGGAGGTGATTCTGGCTCCATCACAAGGTACAGATCTCATTAAGAAATGTGCAGTCAGTATAATCTATCATTTGAGAAACTGTTGCTACTAGAAAAAACATGAGAAATGTATAAAACTTTTTAATAATTTCCAAGTTCAGATGAGATGAGAATTTCTGAAAATAAATTTTCCTCATGATGAGGATATTCAAAGAGATAAACACCATAAAATACAAATATACCCTCACTAGATAACAATTACGATTAGGATGTAAAAAACATATATTCTTATCTTTTAGTTAATTTGACATTGGGTACATTTCAATAAAAAGCAAGTGCATGTGAAAAGCATGATAGAATTAAATTTTTCAGTTACAATTCTAAAATGAAAAAATAGTACTAAAGATGAACAAGCAGAGAAAACTAGCATTAAAGGCATACATCATGTGAACATATATTTGCATCATTTAAAAACTTCTGAGAATGATTATATAATACAGAAAAATAACCAAAAGTCTACCTATAAAAATATTTTAGTTATTATTGAAATTAATTGTGAAATCCAGCAAAAGTCACCCATGAAATAAGAATTATTGTTTGTACAGAAATTAAGAACCAAAATACATCAAATTGTCTTTAAATTAAGTGGGAGCAGAAGAATTATTGTTGAACTTTTAAAAGGTAAGCTTAAATATTAATGCAATACTTAAATGCAGCGATCAATTTTGAGTTCTTCTGTAGTTTATTGTTGCCTATCGCATACGGCAGCAGTATGCCTCACAAAAAGAAATCTCCAGCAACAGAGGACAAGATTGCAATCAAAAGAGCCAAAACTGCAGCGAGGAAAAGAAAGTTCAGTGTAAATGAAAACCCAGATCAAACAGCAGCCAAGAGAGCTTCCACTGCTGAGAATATGCAAAGATATAGGGACTCAAACTCCTGAACAAACTGAAGGCCCAATCAAGAGCCCTCCACAGCAGCTAGCTTAATTGCAGCCCAACAGGACAGCTTTTAAGCTAGTTTAGCTATAAGTTCAACTAAATAACGACACTTTGCCATTGATTTAATTAAGCATATCTAAATATACATCCCCTGGTATTATAATGAATTTTAAGTGAATAACTGCAATATACACTAAAAAATTATTTAGTCTAATACATGAATATCTTTATCTATTAATGAAGCAATTATGGAGGAAATTGAATTATACTAAATACTAAAATTTTATGTTGAAGTTAATTGTGATTTTACTTTTATAATCTTCAATTGCAGATTTTAAAATGAGAGAAATGATTTCCTAAATTGCAGTAAGAAAAAGAACAGACTACAGTTTGATCACAAATAAAAAAAATCTGTTGTACTACTTTAATACATTAAAAGAACTTGTATTTCTACAGAGCTTGACATTCTTCTCAAAGCTGGAAGAATCTTTCCCAAATCTGTTTTGTGCAGTAAAAATATGATACTGAAAATACAATTACAGTGAAATAAGATCAATAAAAGAAATAAATGATACTTGTTGTAATTTTTGAGGTGATCATTATTATAGTCTTTGCACTTTTCAAACAATTGAAATTTATCTCTTATACTCTCAACTTTTCAGCTATTGTATCCTCTGGTTTTCTTCAGGGTTTTTTTTTTTACTCAGTAATTTTCTGAGAATTTTGAACTCAACCCTTTATTCAATCCACAATGGTTGAATAAATGGTTTCCTTCAAAATTCCATACTTAGTATGAAGACAGTTACCAAAAGAAGGTTGGGACATACAATAGCCAAAATGTGGTGTGTATAGGAACCATGACGAGCATAGTGTCTTGAACATCAAAACACATGAAAAAAAATTAACAGATTTAAAAAAATATATATTTAGTTCCTAATTTTATATTAATACCCTTGAACTTACACCTTCTCTTGCAAGATGGTCACCAACATGAATAACAATGATTTACTTAGATTTCTGCCAAGTGCCTCATGATGTATATCACTATAATGCCTCTGGTGAGGTTTTTGTAATTGAATTGTTCCAATGGGTGTGGTGACTGACCCCACACCCAACCCCTGTACTCTAAGTGTAGTTTTTTTCTCATGGTTTTCCTTCCTTTAGACAACCACATGTTCCTATGCTAATGGGTTCTATCTATCTGGGTTTAGGAATCAGTGTTTTCCTTCTAGATTGGTTACCAAACAAGATTGAAAAACCAGTCTACTTTATTATTTAAGCCATAGCTGGAGAAGACCAGATACATTCATACCTTTCCTAAAAAAGGTGAATATAATGAACTCAGGAATTTGAACTCAGTTTGCCAATTTCTTGTTATAAGCCGCTAACCATTACATCACCTGCACATCCATTTATAAATAAAAATACTTTAAAAAAATAAAATGGTGACATTTAGCCTAAAGTCCAAAACTAACAACTTTAACTGATTTGTTTTTTACAGCTTAACCTTTCACAGCTTATTTAAAGCCAGAAAATATTGTTATATTGTAAAAATTGTTTATGGACATTTACTGATACAAGCTGGGAGGAGAAGATGTGGATTCATACCTTTCCCAGGGGTAATTATGTATAAGTAAATACAATGAATCCAACTGGAATTGGAACTCAATTAACAATTCTAAGCCATTAACCATTGCACCACCTGCACATTCAAGCTTAAAGCATCTGGTATTCCGAAGCAGTCACCCATCTTAGTACTAACCAGGCTTGATGTTTCTTAACTTTGGTGATCCTACAGAGAACCAATGTTTCAATGTGATATGGCCATAAGCCACTAATAACTTTGAGAAAGGTTATGTTGCTATCCTTTAAGTTTCAAATGTATCTTTTAACTATGCAGAAGAAGATAGAACTACTAATTTAGTATTAATTACTAACTTTTTAACTATCTTACATCTGGTCTTTGGTGGAATCTTATCAGCAACTGATGTGGGTAAAAATTGAGCACATGCAGAAACAAGAAAAAAATACTAACCAGGTTAACAAATTCTTGTTATGAGGAGATTAACTAAAATCCTTTCTGATCATATAGTTTGACATTAAGATGCCTTTTCTAATTACAAGATTCAGGAACACAGATTATATATATATATATATATATATATATATATATATAGCACTTTCTTTATATTGTTATAGATGCATTTTTGTGTATTGGAAAAGCAATCTCCCATCTAATACATGTTTGACAGAAAATTACTTTTTTTTTTATTGTATTTCTCTTAGTGAACAAGAGATTTCTTTTTTGATCATACCTTGTTTGCATACTAGAAAGACAATAAAAAAACTAGTATCTTGTCAGACATTTTCAATTAAGCATTCATTATATATATATATATATATATATATATATATATATATATATATATATATATATATATATATACTGGCACTCCTGTTGTTTTTTTGACATATGAGAGTTAGCTGAGTTCTTAGAACAAGCAGCCAAACTACCCACACATAGCATTTGCAGGTTTTGAATTCAAAGTTGTTCTCCTAGACTGTTCACCACACAAGGCTATAGGACCCAGTTTGTCCTGCTATTTACCCAGAGCTGGGCGGAAAAGATATCGGTTCATACCTTTCCCAAGTGTATTATTATTATAAGTGAATGTAATGAACTCAACTGGAATTTGAACTCTGGTCTCAGATTCCTCAATCCTAGTCACTATCCATTACGCCACCATGCTCTCCATTATATATATACTAGCCAAATTACTTACTGTGTGTTACAGTTTTTTTTTGTAAGAAAATGATGATTGATTTTAAATCATTGTTATAATTTATGGAGAAAAATGATGAGTTTCACTATTACTCAATGATTTTGCCAATGTAAACTCCATCTACCTTTCTCCTTCTATATTTTGGATTCAAATTTAATTTAAATCAAAGAAAAAAAATTTCAGTGAGGGTTGTTCAAAAATAGCTTGATCTGACCCCTTTGATATATATTTGATGCAATACTTGATTGAATGAATTGATGAGCAGATTTCAACATTGATATGTTAGTTGAATCGTTGCAACAAATGTTTTGTAAGGCACTACCCACTGAGTGGTGATTTCATGCTCAACTTGATGTCTATATTTTCTCATTTTGATCTTGCTGATGTGACCTCCATCTTCTGGCTTTCTCCTATATTTTGGATAGGATTCATTCTCTTGTTCAAATTTAAATTTAATTTAAATCAAAGGAAAAAAAAATTTCAGTGAGAGCGTTGTTCCCCACAGCACCCCCCATCCTTTGATCAAAATGAAATATACTTATCCAAGTACCCTAGGTAATGTAGTTTCAGAATATATATGGTTATGGGGATCTATCTCCCAAACACTAGGAGGAGTTCAATAACAAACAGACATACAGAGGCTACAACTATATATATATATATATATATATATATATATATATATATATATATATGAGAGAGAGAGAGATAAAAAGAAATCTTTATACTTTAGAAACCGTTTCTATTTCAATGCATCTTATGCCACAAAGTATTCAAGGTACTTTTAAGATTCCCCAAATCATCTTTAAAAGTTGTTATTTATTATGCTATCGTTATCTTGACAGCAGTGAGCTTGGTATATTTCTCATCTGTTCTGACCAAGGTGAAGGTTTTGGGGCTTTTTTGCATTCATATTTACTTTCAGAAGATTATGGGAACAAAAGATTAACTGTGTGCATACAGACAAGATAAGAGTTAGGAAAAAATATTTTCACAAATATAATCAATGAGTTGCATTATATAAAATACACACTTTTATTATGATTTATTATAGCTTCAGATCTGAAAAAGGTTTTCATTATGTATTCAATGGCAAATTCACACATGGCTCTGTAATCAGACTCCAGTGGTATATAGTCTGCAATATTGCAAGCACTGATAGTCAGTTGTAATTATTGCCTGTAATGTTATTTTCCTGCAGTTACAAATCTGACACCAAGCCTTGTCAAAATTTGAAAAGGTTTCATTGCCTATAGCTCAACAATAAGAGAAAATTCTAGCATACTCCTCCAGCTCAAAGGTTGGTTTGATGAAATATTTGGTGTGCTTTGTGCTACATGCAAACTCTCCATATGTTATACTGGAACACACCTATTCTATAGTTAATAGACTCGCCCACCTATAATAAGTAGTAGTAGTAGTAGGAGTTGGTCAGTCAGTCAGTTGATGTCGGATGACCGTTAGTCGGATACTAAAAGTACCAGCCACCACAACTAGATCTCTGCGTCATTACCTATTATATCAAGTTCCTAACGTTTTGTACGTCGAACCTATTTTAAGACCGACTTAGTGAAATACAAGCCTCCACTGTGAAACTACTCTATAACACTATACCTATATGTAGTATAGTGATTAGCTTAGATTTGGCACAAGGCTACAAATATAGAGCACTCAGTGAGGATCAAACTCACTATGTAGTTTTAGTTTATCTAGTGAAACAAGGGTCTGGGTCTGTTTAACCACATTGGCCAGTGACTGCAACATTGAACTGCTTCATGACCATTTTCACAGATTCATGGGGAACTTTTTGTACCCCAAAATTGATGGGTTACTCCAACAGGATAATGCAGTGTCATCAAATCAAAGATTCCTGGAACTGCTTTGAGGAGTATTCTGAAAACTTCTGATGAATGATGTGTAGCCACCATGTTTGCTTGACATGAGCTCAATCAAGCATTTCTGGGATATGACAGTGAAGTCTATCCAAATTCCATATGCAAGATTCTAAACTAAAAGATATCAGAGAGTTGGGAACAACTATCAAGGCAACATGCTTCACCATCTCTCTGGAGGTCTTCTGATTACATGTGGAATTGTTGCTATGTCAGGTTGCTCTATTTCATTAAGCTAGAAAGCTATCCTATCATTTTTGGCATATCGGTGTACATTTGGAAAACAAGGTTATGTCTGTTATTCAAGGCTACATTTCTACAGCAACTGGTTCTACCAACTTTAATTTATAATGACCAGTATGCTATTCTCTCTATATCTGCCAAAATAATTTTTTGTATATAAAACCATAAAAAGCCTATATTTTTATATAAAAATTGAATATAAAATAAATTACCCACAATTTTTTATAACAGGGTTAAACCATTTTGTGAAGTAATGTTTATTTTTCAGATTAATCTAACAGCAAGGCTGTTTAAGCAATGTTCACATAGCAAGACAGCATTCCAAGTTATCATTCTTTCTCTACTTGCAGAGGATGTATTGTCAGATATTTACTAGTTAAAACACAACTTTTTTTCCAAGAATGCTAGACCAACTCATCACAAATAGAGAAGATATTTGAGACTACAGAAGGATGTTGAGAATATCATGGACTGAATACGTGAGCAATGAGGAAGTTTTAGAGAAAATGAAAAGGACAGTTATATTAATAATCAGAGAGAGTTGAAATTTCAAGGATATATAATAAACAAAGAAGGCTTAGAAAATTTGACACCCACATGATATACTGAATGAAAGAGAGACTTAAGAAAAACAGCACTTAATCTACCTAATAAACTTCTAAATGGTTGGCAGAACAAAGATTAGAAGATATAGTAAAATGACAATCTTTGCTAAGAGCTACAAAGGAAAGGAAGTTGTGAAGAACCATGATTGACTATGTCTTGATGAAGTAGTTCTCCACACACCTGAAACTTGTGACAAAAATTGCTTCTCTCCCTCCTATTAGGACACCTAAAGCACCAGCCTTCACTTTTTCATAAAATAGAAGAGGTTTTGCCTGGATGGGCAGTTCCTTTCAGTTGAACATGTTTAACTTTGTATCTTGAATTGGGTTCTGACTGAGATAAGGAAGCTTTCTTTTAAGTATTATGACAACTATGATGAAACATTGAATTGGATCCAATATGTAAAAGTCCTGATTGGTAAGGAAATATCAGAACAATTTCTTGTTAATGCATTAAAAACTTATGTACTCATATGGTAAATATAGAGTTGGCCAAAAAGTTTATAATTTTCGACTTAAACTAAAGAACTTTTTGGACAACTCAGAATATAAGACAATTGGGAAACCTGAACATTTTGCCATTGGATTGTTTTCCTCACAGAAGAGTAGATTTTATTTCAACAAAATCTACATTAGGAAAATAATTCATGTTAAGCATATGAAAGCTTGATTTTTAATTTTTCTGTATTGATAGAGAGATTAGATTTTAACTAATTTCAACTTAATGAATATATAAATAAAAATACAAATTAAGGTTTTTAAATCCCACATTGTTTCAATATTAATTTAGTAAAGACAAGCGATAAACTGAAATATCACAGTCATATTAATCATAAGGTACTTGTGGGTCATGGCATTTTCAGCCAAACTTTACTCATGTGCTCATATGAGTACTGTATATACTTGTGCACAAGTCGACTATATAAGGTGCAACTTCTGAATTTGTTTGAAAATCCTGATTTTTTCATATAACTCATGTATCATGCAACCCCCACCTTCTGAGCAATACTAGCAGGCTTATCATAGTCAAATATTGCAGTACTGGGCATCATCCTGGACATATTTTATAGAAAATAAATGGTTTTCATTCTTTCTGTTTTTTGGCCCAAAATGGTGAGAAAAACCACTTCCCGTAAAACATCTAATACAAAGATTTAGATACAGTACTTTTGTTTTTGTTCATGTCTGAGTTTTAATCTCTTCAAAAAAATTATCTGTGTATAGTGCGACCCACTGTTTTTTTGCATAAAACTTATAAAAAATGCACGTTATACTCAAGTATATATGATAATCAATATTTTCTTTAA